CTATACCATGCGTAAACTGTCATGTAAGGTGGCATGTAGTCTTTACTTTGTCCCGTTGTTTGCGTATACCCTGAAACGCGATGTATATGGTTTCCTCCTCCCTCAGTGTTACTCCAGTAACAATTATAGCAAACTTAACGTGTCTTTAACATCATATCCTTTACCTTTTGTCATTGATGACCAATCCCAATATCTATGACTATGCCAACCTGCTTGAGATGTACTTAAATCTATGTAGTGACTGTGCGCAGGTAAATTTCACCTGAAATCGTTTTACTTCCACCTGTTTCCTTTGAAGAGTTTGCACAATACAAAAACCTGTCGACTATTTGAGTCCAAGTTCCAAAACCAAGTACTACTTCTGGTCTGGTAGAGTTCATCGACGTATAAATAGAGCCAACCGGGTAAATAAGATTCGGCAAAATTTGTTTAAGCACATTGAGTTCCTGTCTTAGATGTATAATACTATTGTCATTAGATATCAAAGTATCTACAAGACTTGTTGCCGGTGGTATTGTTGGAGCTTTACTTGGCAAGGTTGTGTTTAGTGTAATATCATCTGCTGTAAAAGTTGTAAAACTTGTATGTGTATGAGTCTTATTTGCTTTCTTCTCTAACTCATCGTTAACATATGTTTTATCCGCTTTCTTCTCTAACTCATCGTTAACATATGTTTTATCCGCTTTAAGGTCTAAACATCCTGAAACCCATCCTGTATCGGCTTTAGTTTTTAAAATCTTTGTTGTCCGTTCATGGTACCATTCAACCCTTTCTTTAATTTCATTGTCTTTTTCATCCACATATTCCTTATCTGCCTTCTTCACTAACGCACTAGCCATACAACCCCTATCTACCTTCTCCTCTAACTCACTGTTGACATATGTTTTGTCAGCTTTCTTTTCAAGGCTAACGTTTAAGTCTGTTATTTCAGATATAGAATGTGTATGTCCAACGTCACTTTTCCTGTTTAAGGTTTCTTGTAAGTTTGTAATATTTGCAATGGTATGTGTATGAGTCTTTTTAGAATATTCGTTTTCAGCTCTTGTCACTTCACTTGACATTTTATTGTCAACATATGTTTTGTCTGCTAGTTCAGGATGAGTATGTTCTTTTGTTGCATAAGCTTTGTTAGCTCTTTCTTCTTCTTTTGCTATTGCATCGTCTACATATGTTTTGTCAGCTTTGTTGTCAATATCTGCTTTCAAAAGAAGTTCATCTATAGGTTTCTCGTTTAAAGTTCTTTTTGTTGGATTTATACAAACAGTATGGTTCTTGTTGTCTTGAAACAGAAACTCGTCTGTTAAAGGGTTTAATGTCAGTTTTAAGTTTCCTTCTTTCAATGACTCAGATATCTTAGAATAGTTTGAAAAGTTTGTTGTGTTCTTATTTAGAGCTTGCAAAATGAGTTGTCGGTTGTGTTGTATCTCTCTCATAGACGCTGTTTCTTTCGACATTTTTATTCTAGATAAATATGCTTTCAATAGAAAAGAAAATTCAAGAGTTGCTACAACTAAACCATTAGATGAACTTTTTACGAATGTCGGTCAAAAGTTTGAGACAGAGACCGTAAAGCATGAAGGCTATCGTTTTGACTACCCACTAAGATGGTTAAGAGACCCATCCGTCACAAAAGCTATTGGCTTTCGTAGAATGAAGTTCATTTCAGAAGCCATACATGGTTTCCCATTTACGGTCGGTTTTGAAGTTCGATACTATAACAAAGAAAAACGTACGTATGAGAAATTTGAACAGGGAAAACTTTTACAAGTGAATTTGCTTGTAAACTTAGAAACAACTCTTCAAGCTTTTCAAGAAAAAATAAACGATATCTATCTCGAATATGCAAACCAGTATAACATTGACGAAGGAGAGTACCATCTCGATATTTTATATGACAGGAAAAATGCAACTGTTAAAATCAATAAAATAGAAGACCTTGGAGAAAACGTTTATATTTCTACAAAATATAACAACTTGGCATGGTATAGATTTTTGAGGATGTTAAATCAGCCTGCAGCATATCCAGTACACCCGGACTTTTATGAAGTCGAAAACCCTAATGGAACATATGAAAATGTTTTCGACTCAGATGCTATTATCGTTCATGCTTCATTTTCTGGTGCACAAAACTCTTTTTTATGCTTGGCAAATGACTTTTACGAAAAACCTACAAAGCTATATGAACCACCGAGTGGAAGTATTTCAGACTTTCAAGTATGGTTTACAACAGATGGAAGAAAGAGAATAGTTCCATTATACCATGCGTTTTACTTAGAACTTAGTTTTCATATACAACTACTATCGAACGGTAAAAATATAATTTTTTAATACGGTTGAGGTGTTGGATTTGGTTGCCAACTAGACTGTGGTGCAGGTTCAGGCTGTTGTATAACAGGAGCTTGTTCTTCTGGTTCAGGGTCTTTAGGTATAATACCAACGAACTGACTATCTTTTGCCAATATTTTTGACTCCGTTCCAAATTCCTCTTCCTACGGTTTTTATTCCATTCCATATACCTCTTCCAACATTTCGAAAGAAGTTTCCAATACTACTGAAGAAACCCATTTTACTATATGTAAAAATCTAATGTCCGCCTAGTCTCTTACGTTTCCTGTTGAGTTCCATTGCATTCTTTAACTGGAGCTCATACATTCTATTTCTCCTCTGGTAGAAAACATATTCCGGGTCAACTCCTGTGTTCGCGTCATCTGCATAGAGTTGTTTATATCCCACTTCAGGGTTTGTATAAAACTCTTTCCATCTCATATTTGCATACCATGGTGGCAAACCTAACGCAGCGTCATTTGACATGGCAGTTTGCATTTGTACATCTGTTGGCACTTGACCATAGTTTGCCATTGCAGTTTGTATTCTAACTTCATTTGGAATATTCTCTGGGTTTGGTTGTCCAGGTTGCTGTGCATTCGCTAAGTTCTGTGCGTCCATTTAATATTAGATAAAAATATCTCTTACGAGTACATATGCTGAACATTTGCAGGCAGTGGTTCATCTTCATATTCTCTATATCTTTCTGCCACGTCAAATAATTAAATGACACAATGGAAAAAACCTAAAACAAGAAGTCCTATTTCAAACCACATTTACTTACCAATAAAATTTCTTTGTTGTGACACTTTTTCCGGTTTATAGGACCTCTCTCATATTCTATCTTGTCATATCTAAAATCATACTCATGTATGTCCTCTAACCATCTCATGACACTTTCCAAACCACTTTTATCGGATGTAAAGTAAAAGCATGGATGGTTATGTAAAACGTCTAAAGTTTCTAAAGAGTCTCTCAAAGTCCAGTCTACTTGGTATTGAAAATCGTATGTGTTATAGAACGGTGGGTCTACTATAAAGAAAACATTTTCCTTGTTTTTATATTTTTCATACAACTCTGTCCAACGACATCTCACAAACTCTATACCCTCAGTATATTTTTCTATGTTCTCTTTGAAAACCTTTGTATAGTTAAGATATAAAACTTTTGACATAAGTGTTTCAATGTCATGAACTCTTATAGAACCACTATACAATAGTCTAGAAGATATACTATCCCAGTCAATATACTCTGCTTTTTTCAAAACCTCTCTGACAGTATTTTTCTTATCTAATGGTATACGTTCCATCTTACCTATAGGTATCTTTTCTTTTAACTCTTTCAATATTTTGTTTGTGTCTGGAATATGTTTGAGACGGTTCATATAGTTGTCGAAGTCATTGCATATAATCTTTGAGTCAGGAAATACAGTATGGCACAAATGAGATATATAGAAACTTCCACCGAACAAATCTACAAATGTTAGACCATTCGGTAGTTTCTTAAGTTCTCTCAATAGAATATCTTTACATCTACTCTTATTTCCAAAGAAGGGTAACGATGGTTTTGTAAAATTCATTTTATATTTAATAAAAATGTTTTTTCCCTGAAAAGTGACAGAAAAGTGACAAAACATCTTCGGGGCTAGAGGGCACGAAGTGCCTGGAAGCCCCAGTACCTTTTTTTTTTTTTTTTTTTTTTTTTTTTATTGTAATATGTAACTAGCAAAAAGCCTAATATTTATCAAAATTAATCAAATCAAATGATCAATATTCATGATATGTCATCAGCAATAGCTAATTGATATTTTATTTTGTATTGATATTCATTTTTCTCATATTATACACGATTATATCTCTTTTTTTTAAAAAAAGTTTTTATATTAGACATGAAAGTTGAATTAATACAATTTTGTACTAGAGTTTGTTTGTATATTAAATAATAATGATATATACTTCAACATATTGCGTCTCACCATTACCAAAATGTAATTTTGCATACAATTTTCTTTCATTTAACAATGATGTTATTTGAAAAGTGATACTTCCATGATTATTGATTAATGTTCCATCATATATAGGAATGAATGTTAAACAAGACACGCCTGCAGCTGGGTGCATTCGTGGCATTGTGATAAGGCTTATATATAAAGACTTCTCTCGATCAGCATTACGTCAAATGAATATTGACCCATTATTTTGGCGATGCGCTAGTTCCAAGTAGAAATGCTTTGGTATATTTAGGTTATGTCTATATGTTATGAATCATGGTATTATTGATAAAAACGTTCTTAGTCATTAAATCAATCCTAGTATCTAAAGATATAATTTAGATTTTTTTGTTTATTGCTAAAATTAAATACAGTATAACTTTCTTTCATATTGTCGGTACTAACAATACAAGATTGTGTTGAAAAAAACTTAAATATGCATGAAAATTAAATTTAATGTGTAAATATGATAAAAATTTCAACTTTACTAATAACATACATAAGTTTCTGATAGTTTAATATAGTTCATATTGATGTGACTGTAAACTATATCAAAAAATATTTTTAAATATTGTTATGCAAATAATGGGATTTCTAAGGAAAAAATGATTATATTTGTTATATAAAGCAATCTTTTTAATTATTCACTACGTTTATTACATTTTTTGCCGACCATTTACGTAATATGCCTCCACCAAGCAGACGCAAACAACAAAGTCGTGAAGCTAACGAAAAATCAATTGAAGCAAGAAAAAACTCCCAAGAAAAGAATGCGCCAAAGGAAGTCGATCCAAAACACTGGACTGCTTCTGTAATTGTTAATGGTGACTCTTATACTCGAGCAAGGAATTTATTTCAAGATAACAATATTAAAGTGCCGAGTGAAAAAGAGTTTTACCGTCATCAAAAAGAAATAGGTAAGGTAATACTAGAATATAAAGAGCAATCTATTAAAAATGCTCAACAAACAATGAAGAAAGATACATTTTTAAGCACTGATTCGCATTATAATGTTGGCAGAAATGCTACAGCGTGCCAAAGTTTAATGATGGACAACCGTGGAAAAGTTGTTGGTGAAACAACTGTTATAAAAAAGAGCTCTGGAGGAGACTTTGAAGGCCCATCCAACATGATGGAAACAGAATGTACAAAGAGGATGATGTCAAATTTTGACTTTACAAATGTTTCCACAGTGGTTCATGACAATGACAATAAAACGAAAGCCATCATCCAGCAATATGCTCTGAATGCTAAAATTACACTTGATCCTCGTCATTGTGTACGTGCAGTTGGCAGAGCTTTCGAAAAGCTTGAAAATGGTGGATATAAAGAAGCAGCAGGAAAAGAAACTGTTAATCAACAGAAAGAAAGTGAATCACAGCCAGCATTCCCAATCAAATCTAAAGCAGAAGAGCCGAAGAAACGTGGAAGACCATTAAAACACCAAGAAAAAGTATTTCATCAGATATATTCGAAAGTTATTAAGTGGTTCACTTTTATTATCATGCTTCCAATTGAAACAACGAAAAAAATTTTCCTATGGAAGAATACATTAAATCATTTTATCGGAAGGCATGAAAATTGCCTTCACGAAAAAGACAAAGAATATCCTGTGTTTCAGCCACTTACAAAACCTGATTTAGCGAAGCAATTTCAACGTTTTACAGATGATGCCGCAAAGTTGATTCCAGAAATTGATCCTAATGCTCAAACACAACAAAATGAATCGATACATCACTCAATGCTTACTCAGTGTCCCAAAGGAAACAACGCAAAATCGTTTGAAATGCGTACGGCTGTTACAATTTTACAAAAAAACGAAGGAGAGAAATGCAAACAAGAAATATACAATCGTGTCAATAATTACCAAATATCTCCAGTTAGTATCTAGTAATTGGGTACCAAGGGTCTACGCCTCTTAGTACTCAAATTACTAGAATTTGACAAAAACCGTTTGACACGTAAAATATTTTACATTTACAAAAAATAAAAATAAATATTTTTTTAAAAATAAACTTTAAAAAATAAACTTTAAATTTTTTTATTTATTTTTTTCATCGTAAATTTTTACACTACTCAAAATAAAAAATATTTTTTGAAAAATGAACTTTAAAAAATAAACTTTAAAATTTTTTATTTATTTTTATCATCGTAAATTTTTACACTACTCAAAATAAAAAATATTTTTTAAAAAATAAACTTAAAAATAAACTAACTCAAAATTTTTTAAAATTTATTTTTTTATTTCTGTATATACTAAGCCGATTAGCGGCGGGGCTAAAAGCCCATGTTTAACATAAACGATAAAATAAATGATAAAATTAATTTTAAGGTAGATCTAACCCGATATCTAACCTCATTTCTAACCTTGTGAATTTTTCATAAATTTTCTTATAAAGTTGCAATAGTTGAATTCAGTAACTGAGCCTCAAGGAAGAAAACATCCTTTCCGTCTTCAGGTAACGCAACGGGACATTTATGATCGTGTGTAGAATACATATCAATCCAAAACTCTCTATTATTTCCCGATAACTTATAATATTTAATTTTTGTTAATGGTGATGCTCTAGTATGACCGATAAATTCATTTTCAACCCCTTTAGCGATATTTGAATATAAAATGACTTGTTTTCTGTCCCATACATTATATGTTATTATTGGTAATAACACTATTCGTTCTTCTCCAGGTTTATAATTAAATACATTCATGAAGTCTTCATTATACTGAGAAATTTTAAAACCTATCCTAAAATCACTTTGTCTCTTTTCTGCTACTTCATTAAACGGCGAGTATATAACAAATGTGCATGTATGTGAATCATCTATTTGTTCAATAAATTCATAATGAAAGTCTATAATCTGCGGATGAATTCCTTCTTCACCTAATTTATCAAGATACACATTTAATCCTAAAGCGTTTTTGTTAAATTTCTTTTCGAAAATTTCATTAAAATCATTCATGCACTCATATAATGTTGTATCATCTTTGAAATATTTATATATGTGAATAGTTTGCTTAAATTCTTGGGTTTCGTTTATAACAACAACTTCGAGCTCAAATTCAACCTTTCTAAATCCTCGCGTTATATACATATTTGATAAACCAATATATTTTCATTTATATTCACAGCCCAGTCAATAGGTAATTTAAATGTAATTCTATTTCCATTTATTTTGACATTTTCGTCTTCAGAACTGAAAATTTTATTTGAATTAAATATGAGCCTATCAAAATCTGAGAGACAATCGATTATATTAAATGATGCAAGAGGAATTCAGCATCCATTATATTATGTATCAACAAGTAAAGATGGAAAAATTTATGTAAGAAAAAGACAAGTTCCATTAACGAATTCGGAAACTGATAAAATAGATATTAAACCTCCCCCATCTGAATCTAAACCAGAACCTAAACCAGGAGGACTCAGAGAGTCCATCTTGGCGCAGAGCGTCGAAATCAAACCCGATGTACTTTCGATAACGAATCAAGAATTAATAGCTAAATTTGTAAATTTCATTGAAAAGCAAACGGAATCAAAAAATCCAGACCCACCAGTAAAAGAGCAGGAAACCAAAATTAATGAAGAGTTTGTTAAAAACGTAAAACATGAAATTCATGAACAAAAGAAACAAATTCCTCAACTTAGAAGAAGAGTTAGAATATTAAACTAAATAAATATTTTTATCTAACATAAAACATGCAAAACGAACAGCTTAACGAATTTACACCAGCTGAACATATCCATCAAATTCGTTCATATTTTGATGTAATCGATAATGCAATTAATATTGGTGATACTAATAGAAGATATATCGATGCCAAAATTCCATCACAACCAGGAAGCGCAAAGGATCATAACTGGGTCACATTCAATTTATCTCCGCCAGGTGAAAATATGCTAGACCTTTATAACACATTCCTTACAACTACCTATAAAAGTAAATATATCCTGGATAATGCTATTACTGGCTCATCAATTCCAAATACTAATTCTCCAGGTTTCTTTGGCGTTTTTGATGAATCAATTTACACCATTAGCGCTTATCAGTTATTAGCAAATGGAAGAGTTATTTATAGTCAGGATATATCATTTCTAATTCACAGACTACAGAACAAATAAAGAAAGTTGATGTTTTCTCAAAAACGAGACATAAAGATGTATGGAAACATTCTGGAACAGTTCGAACAGGTCAAATTATCTCAGGACCTTTAGCTGCAGGAGCTGAAATTAATTTTGACATTAAAATAAAGATTCCATGTCGTAAATTCCTTATTCTAGAAGTTATTAGATTTATTCCTGCTTTTGCAGGCAACATTCAGTTAAAGGTTAAATTTAGTAGCGATGCATTCCAGGTAACAGCACTGCCGGTAGAAGATATTTTAGCTCATAATCCTTCTTTAATCAGTCAGGTAAAAGATAATTATGACCCACCAACTAATAAATTTGTTCCATGGAATGAACCATTCAATATGATAACAGCAGTTTCTAAATCAAATGGTGAAATTACTGTTTCAACAGTTGAACAAAGATTAACGAAGAAATCAGCTGAATTCATTGATTGCTTCATTCATCCTAAAGCATTTTCACTCGATCCAAATATTTACACTGAATTAGTCGACATTATACATCACAAGCTTTATGTTTTCCAATTAAAGTAATGGACTGGATTCCTATGGACGGTTCGTTCAGTAAAGGTTCACCATCAGCAACTTTCACAGCAGCTTATACACCAATTAACGTTAAAAGCATTTGGGCTTTATTTAGGAAGAATGATAATTATATCGTGAATTTCGAAAATCCTCAATTTGAAACCCTTCAATTATCAATGGGTGCTTATGGAAGTATGCCAGCTGAACCAGAGAGCTCTTACGGTCCTGTGTTCTATGAAATGGTTGCTAATGCATGCAATACAAATAACGATATGATAGGATTTAATGAAGATGTGATGAGGTCGTTAATTGATGATGGAAGCGTTAAACATTTATATGAATCATACGATAACACTCATTTCCTCTGTGGATTCCCTACGGAAACTGATTTCACATTTCAACAGGGTCAAACATCAACGGCACCAATTACTTATAAATTAGGTGTTAAAGCTGATGATACAAATATAAGCGAAAAATACACTGTCAAACCTTTATTAGGATTTCTTAGAAATGCTTGTTTCGCTATTCAAGTTAGACCAGCCGGCATCCCTGCTGTTAGAATTGATGATTATAATTTAGCTGCTGATGGAGGTGATGAATAAAAATAAATCTAGTTAATTTTTAATTTTCTGATTTTTTTATTTTTATAAAACGATGGAAAATAATAACTGGGAAACATTAGTTGCTGATGAAGATTACGAAATTAACACAAAATATCCGTATCAAATAAGAAGGAAGAAAAACGGAAAGACTGTCAGCGAGTATGAAGAAAAGAATGGATATATAAGATTAACCCTTAACGGTAAAAAATATCTTAAACATAGATTAATAGCTATTCAGTGGATTGATAATCCTGATAGTTTTGGGGAAGTTGACCATTACGATAAAGTAAGAAATAATAATATGGTTGATAATCTACATTGGTGTTCAAGTTCTACAAATAATAGAAATAGAAGTAAAGCAAATGGAGTAGAATATAATTTCGTTGATGAAATCAGTGAAAATTCAAGGCAAACCCAAATTTTAGCTAAAAGTGACAGGAAAAAAAACGTTTAGTATTAAAAAAAAAGACCGATGAGAGCTTCGTTCGAAATATAGAGGGAACTGAGAATGCGCAACCATTCTCAGGGAATATTGGATGCTATTCCCGTTCCCTCTGTATGGAAAATTGAGGTTTTCAAAGGGAGTTAAAATAATATCAAATTTATACTAATTTACTTCAAAATACAAAAGTATTTGACAGCTAAAATTAGTTACTTTAGCAAGCCTATCAATACCCTTTTACGATTATTGTTACTTTTTCGAAATAAAAGTAAAAACAAATTTATACTAATTTACTTCAAAATACAAAAGTATTTGACAGCTAAAATTAGTTACTTTAGCAAGCCTATCAATACCCTTTTACGATTATTGTTACTTTTTCGAAATAAAAGTAAAAACAAATTTATACTAATTTACTTCAAAATACAAAAGTATTTGACAGCTAAAATTAGTTACTTTAGCAAGCCTATCAATACCCTTTTACGATTATTGCTACTTTTTCGAAATAAAATAAATTTATTATCAAAAACCTTTTTTTTAGTAAAAATAAACGAAATTTTTTACCTTATGAACTTTTGATGGAAATATGCAAATTTAAAATAATAAAGAAAGCCGCGAGCGAATCGAGCGGCTTAGGTCTAAGATTTTGATTCAAATCTTTGCTTATATTCCTTAAATTCTTTATGAAACTCGCAACAGTTCCATAAAAAATTTTAAATTCTAAACTGTCGAAATTACCGATCGGTAATCACACCCTTCATGGGTGTGTCACTTTTTACAGGCGTGTCACTTTTAGCTAAAATTACCCCTACTCAAAATTCAATTACTGTTTCACATTACGGAAATCATGAATTTGAGGATTTATTTTACGACATCGATGCAGATTTGTTTTATTATTATAACGGTCGTCAGTATAAAGAACTATACATTAATGAAAACATAAATGGTTCATTATATGTTAATGTTTATGATGTTAATGGAAAAAGAACATGCATTACGTATAGTAAATTCAAACGCTTACATAATTTAATATGAAAAGTTTATTTTTGTCTTGAACGATAAAAATATATTATATCATTAAGCCGCTACGCGGCGAGACCCAAAGGGTCATGACTTCAGAACTTTAATTTCCTTATGAAAGTATTTTTAGTCGTTATTGAAAAGTTAAACTTCTCTTCAAAACAGGGTGCTGTTGATTTGCATAAATCAAATGCGATTTCCTGACCATCGTGAAGGGCTTGATATAATTTCATTATACTGAACTCAGAATCTTTATCATATTTTCCAACAGGAATATGAATGTTCTTATCTTCATTATAATAGCATTGTACTGCGTCAGGAAACATTTCGTTAGCGGTTAAAGCAATGACATCTTGTTTTACGCCTTTCATACGTGCATGAAATGCAACTTCACCAATGTCATTTATTAAAAGGTCTATGTAAGTCTTCTTTCCACAAAATATCGACTTGTAAGCTAAACTTTGTTTATCTTTTGTGATTTCTGCAAAATCTGAATGAAACTGACCTAAATTCTTTCCTATTAATTCGCGACCGTATCTATTCTTAAATTCATGAGCTAAACGTGGTATGTCTTCATTGAAAATATGCATGCTATCACAGTCCTGGTAAAAGATACTTAAGCCCATATCCTCAGCAGTGCAAAATACTTCATTCATGATACGTTTCGACATAGATAAGATATTAACACCTAAGGGACAAAAGTTAAAGTGTCTGCAAATGCTTTTAGTTAGTTTGAAAATAGTTTTATCCGAACCATCTAAACCTTCAAATTTAATGATATGGTTATAATTTCTGATGGCATACCTAACAGCATCTTTATCATCAATGATTTTAATTTTCGACTCTATCGGGGACAAAATAGTTTTTCCATAAATACTGTTCAAAATTAATTTAATATTTTCTTGTAGCGGATTTTCTTCCTTCTTATACTTTAATCTCAATTCAAACAATTTCTTTACTTCATCTCTTATTCTAAAATCTCTTTTTTCATCGTAGTAGTAACCCTGTAATACTTCGCAGCTGATGCCCTGATATTTTATTAAATCCTGCAAAGCTATGTGGTCCACATACATTAAACAGCATGTGTTAGAACTTCTTGGAACCTTTAGCTCCGGGTTTAATTCTGGATCTACTGTTATTAATGGAAAGTGCCTTTTAATCTTAATCTCGGTTATTTTTATTAAAACAAAGAATCCGGAAATGAATTTCTCACCTTCAGGCTCGCCCTGGTCATCATCGAATAAATGTTTTAACAAATATTCACTGTTTAACATTTCTTTCTTCATAACCTTTGGAATTCCTTCTAAAGTATAAAGTCTCGCAATAGCTGAGGGATATAATGAAACAGCATCGAAGTCAGCAATGAGTTTCTTTTCGCTCTTTTGTTTCATGTTATCTGACAGCATACATCTTCCACCTTGAATACAGCGTGAAATAAATTCTCTTGGTTTATTTGAAAGGTCATATAAATTTCCATTCGGGAAATATACTCTGTTTTCGAAAAGTTTGTTAGCGATTGAACAATGCTAACGTAATCATAAACGTTTAAATCAAACTCTTTCAATATATCATTTCTGAACTTAACAAAACCTTCTCTTAAAATCCTTACGTCCTGTTTGCAATAAAATGAGCTATATTTTTCTAAATCGAAATGGTTTTCATCTATTCTGCAGTTTTCGATTAAATCTATGTTTTTCATGAACGTTTCAATATCTTTTACAAACTTACACGCTTCAGAAATTACGCCAGTTTTGTTATCATTAACTAATAAAGAGCTTGAATAATATTGATACGGAAATACTTCCTTTTCACCACACTGCAAATGAAACATTTCAGGAAATAGTTTAAGCTTCTTATTTATAACAGTGTATGAATCTTTAATAATGATTGCTTTACCTTTATATATTCCCGTTATCTGCATTGTTCTAGAACCCTTAATAATTGGTGTTCCGCTAATTTCTGTTAAATGTCTTAAAATGAAATTGATATCATAACTGAGGTTATGAAAATATATTAAACTTTTATCAGGAATTCTTTCTAAAAATTTTGTTGCACAATTTTGACCCCAAATGCTTTCGCTAATCTTTCCATCTTCACTATCATAACAAATGTTAAAGGCTTTATGAACTCCATCAGTGCTACATTCAAAGTCAGCGAAGAAAATGTGTTCAGGAATGAATTTTTGTTTTGATTTATCACTATCTTTACTTTCAGACTTTTTCTTTAACTGAACACAGTAGTTCGGGGTATAATTTAAATCTTTAAACGGTGCAAGTTTTTGTTTATATAAATCTGTTGTATAAGTGAAAAGTTCACCATAAGATAACGGTTCAAAGTAATTGCACTCTCTTAATGTTTTCAAAATATCCCATAAAGGAGTTGTTCGCGTAGAATCAATAACAAATCTATTTTCCCTTTTCTTATATATTTTCATTTGACGCTCAATATTCCAGCCGCCTAATGATTTGAGAATTTCGTTATAATTTATGATAAAATATGTTGTCATAGGTAATCTTTCATTTAACATGTAATGGTCTTCAACAAGAAGTAAGTCAATAGTTCGAACAGTTTCACATTCTTTTGGTATATATCTCTTTATTTCATTATGTCTAGAGTCATTGAAATAACCAATGGTAACATTAAATGCTATGCCTGTTGCGTTAGAAATTTCCTGAATCTTACTTTGTGGAAAATCTCTAACTCTAATAACTTCACGCATGTGGTCTACCGTCTGCTCATCAACTCCAGCCTGAATGCAAGCATAAACGAAGCAGTTATCTTCTGTCATCAACTTAGCAGTTCTTTTGTTAAGTTCATTGAAAATTTGATAGCGTTCAAGATTTATAGGTAATCTGCAAAGATACTTCCAAAACTCTCCGCTTCTCTTTTTATTCGTTCTCTTTTCATCAAGAATTTCATTCCAAAAATCATCTATATCCTGTTTATCACCTATTTCTTTAAGTCTGTTTAATAATCTTTGCTGACGTGCTGTTAATTTGCTTTCATCTCTTTTTTCTCTCTTCTGTGGCTTACCTTTCTTAATATCGCTCATCGTTAATCCTTCATATTCGGTTAAATCATACATTTTAATTTCTTCGAGGTTCTTAATATTTGTCATGAAGAAATCATAATGTTTTTCAATTATTCCGGCTGCGTTTGCTTCAATCTCTGTTATAAAGTTTTCTTGCTTTAACTGATGAAGCAAAGCTCCGATGTTCTCGATATTCAATGTTGAATTAGTAAATTTACCATCGAGTTTATAACAAATCATCCATTTTTGCTGTGAATTTACTTTTATCTTCTGCAGAAGCCTAATAAACATTTTACCGAAACGTTCATGTAGGTAATTTCTGTTTTCTTCATTGAGTTCACGAATATTAAAATCTATGATTCTATTTCCTGCTTTAACATTTTTGCGTTTATTATTTTCATCCTTCTTTAACCATTTTTCGTCATCAAGAGCTTTATCGTCTATAGATTTAATAACTTCGTTTGCTTTGCGTAATTGTGCAATTGCTTTTGCATACTTTACAGCTATATTTTTCTTTTCTTCATCGCTTTTCTTCTTTCTCGTTTCCCCAACACTAACATTAGTTATATCATACATTTCTTTTCTTACTTCCTTCGGTACCGCTTGTTTATGATATAAATTAACCTGAACATCGTTTAAAGGAAATGTTTTGTTATTAATGTAATCATTAATTTTCTCGTAAGTGACTACACCTCTGTAATCATTGAGGTATTTAGCTAATGAAGATTTGTTAGTCGCATATCTTTTGCTAACTTCAATGTCAGCATTCTTCAATAACTTCTTAATTTCTTCATGGTCTAATCTAGATAGCTTTTTATACATCTTTTATGGAAAATAAAAAAAATATTTTCCGTAAAAAATATAATTTAAAAATAAACTTAATTTTTTTAAATAATTTATATTTTTAATTTTAATAAAATAATGTCTGAGTACAAGTTCTATTCATACAATGCTCTCGCTACTGCTGTTAAGGGTGAATTCATAAATGGAAAAAACGTGAACGTTATATTCAATAAAAAGTCTGTGAAAGAATCTAAATACGGTCAGTTCGTTAAACCATACGCTATCATTATTGACAGAAAACGTTACACACCACATGAAATAGCAGTATTACTTAAACAGAAAGGAATATTTGTAAATATCAAAGATACACATTATACGATTATGAAGAACTCTAACGTTGAATTTTTCAGCATTGTTTTAGATTTATCGCAGCAGAAAGAATTCAAGAAGGCGCAAGGCGCCGAGATGGGCTCAAAGAGCCCTCCAGGTGAAGTAGTTGTGAAATATTATCCTTCATCTCTGAAGACGATAACGAATAAAGATGTTATTCATAAACTCCTACCAGTAATTGAGGAAGCAACGATTGAATATGATGAAGAAGGAAGTGAAATAATTGAGGAAATAGACCCTGAAGCTTTATAAGAAAATTTATTTTTGAAGAACTGAAGGTGTCACCACGTCACCATGTGTCACCATGTGTCACCTGGTTAAATGTTAAAAATGATGACAACATGACATTTAGACAACACAGAAGATGGAAGGCATTTTATGAGTTATTTTTATAAAAAATTAGTTACAGTCAGTTAGTCAGTAAGTTAGGACCTTCGGTCTTGGCGCTTTGCGCCGTCAATGAAATTTACACCAAAAATATATTTTAGTTGAGAAGGTTAGATCTAACCCGATATCTAACCTCATTTCTACCCAGGTTATTTTATAAACGTTTCACATGATATACGTTATGAATTCGTGAAATTTTAAACAGTTTTGTAGCTTCTATTTCTTCAGTTAATATATCAAAAGTTTTAACGATACCGAAAGTTTCTTTATACTTCTTCTTAACATCAGATAAAAGGAAATCATCGGCTGTGGGATAGTTTTTATTCAGAAATTCTAACATGTTCATTTTTTCTTCTGCCGGCTTCTCTGCTGCTTTCTTTAAGTCTGCGTAATCGTTTCTCATTCTTTCTATCTCTTTTACTGAATAATTATATTTCCTCACTGCCGCTTTACATTTCGAACACTGAGGATTCATTTTTGCGTTATATTCTGAAACCTTACCTGCTAAAATAACTAAAGCATCAATGGCTTTCTTTAAATCTGAAGCAGTTGGTTTTATCTGTTCATGCCATACTTTACCGCTTCTGTCTTTATCTCTAATCTCCCATACACATTGAGCAGCTAATGAAACAAAGTTATCGTAAGTCTTAAACTCCTCAGATTTATAAATATCAGAAATGTTTTTATAAACCATATCACAGTCTTTATCCATAATCTTGTGGTTACAATGAAAACCTAAGAATTCAGAATTTACCTTACGAATGAATTTCTTAATTTCTGCTGAATCACTAACTTTAACTTCAATTTCATCGAATTCAGGAACAGTCAATTTCTGTTGCTGAACTTCAGGTAATTTAGGTAAATGGTCTATGATATCTTGGATTTCATATAGCTCCTGTCCATTCGTTTCATCTTTCGCGCTACAGTTTAAATTACTTGTTAAAAGTTCCTGCTTAATTTTTTGTATTTCTGTTTCAAAAGTAAATGAAGAAGAAATGAAGTTTTTCATTTCTACTAACATTGACGTAGGATTCATGACTAATGAATTTGGTGCCGTGCATGCTGTCGAAAGTGCTGATGTTTCGATTTTTGTAATCATATTTATATAAAAATAAAAAAATAAAAATAAAATAAAAACTAACTTTATTTTTTATTTCGTGAAAATTCATGAAAATTCAAGGGGTAGAAATGAGGGTAGATATCGGGTTAGATCTAACCTTTTCAACTAAAATATATTTTTGGCGTAAATTTACGAAAACATAAACGAAAAAATTAATATATAAAATTCATGAAAATTCAAGGGGTAGAAATGAGGGTAGATATCGGGTTAGATCTAACCTTTTCAACTAAAATATATTTTTGGCGTAAATTTACGAAAACATAAACGAAAAAATTAATATATAAAATTAATGAAAACATTAATGATAAAATATATTTCTGTATTTTATCCGCTACTTTATTACCTAATTAACTTCAGACATAAAATATATTTAGTTCATAAAAATTTTTTGATTAATTTTGGCTTATTTTTATCCTTCCAGTAATCCTTTTCGAGTTCCGATAAATGTGTAGGGTTCGATTCTCTCAAATTTCTAGAAGGAATTTTATCATCCACACCTCCTTCATAAATGACAGTGTATTCATCTTTGTCTTCATCATAACTCACAATTTTATTAACTATACCTCTTTTCGCTTCATCAACCGTCTTAGCTAATCTTCCATTTTCGCTTTCAACTAATCGAAATTGTGGATAAAACGCTACTGAATGGTCAGCTGCTTTAATTAAATAACCATTACCCTGTGAGGAATCAACGATATAATAATCATCACTTAACTGATTTCTTACCTTTTCATGTGGTTTATGTTCAAGAATGATTCTAACTTTAGTTCCTGGCAGTAATGATGAACTTCTTCTTTCCTCCGTTAACATTCTCTTTTGTTTTATGTATTCATCCTCCTCTTTTGAAGTCATTTCGTTTGGTTTAAATCCTGTGCTGTTATGAGTTGATTTATTATAAGCATTAATGACTTTATTCATTGATTCCTCCGTAAAATCTCTTTCTTTATTTAAATCTCTGAGCGTTCGAATGAAACGATTAATGATACCTAAAATATTATGGTTATGATCTTCAGTCGTGTAATGAGTAACGTTATGTTTAATCAAAAATTCAGTAATTTCATTTGAAAGGTATGCTGAATCCTGGTCTGAAGTTAATGAAGTGGGATGATGTTCTGCCACGAACGTCTGCAAAACTCTTAAAACTTCTTTTGTTCCTTTATTTTTCATTATATACGCAAAAGCTTTACGTGTATTAACATTAATGAAAATCAAAAATGGTGGCTTTCTTCCTTTCTTACTCTGAACGAGTGTATCAAATTGATATGCATCATGGGTTTTAGAATAAATGGGAAGGTAGTAGTCGTATGGATTAACTTTAACCTGATGAACTAAATTTTCATCATAAAATCTCTTAATTTATGTTCTATCATTAAATCCCGCATTCTTTGCAGCTTCATAGAATTTTTTAAATGACCTCCACGGTGATGATTCGAATACTTCTTTTAAACTCATTTATGTAAAAATAAATTTAGTAAATTTCATGCTGTTCGCTCTTTTGGAGCTCAGGACTTTCAGTCCGTTCTAACCCATGCATAAACTGTCATATAAGGTGGCATATAATCTGCACCCAAACCTGTTGAATTTGTTGTGAAAGTGTGTGAATGATTTCCTGCGGTTCCACAGAAAATACCTGCGCTTGAATCTACTGGGTCACTTGAAATATCATATCTATTCATTCCCTGTCTATCCGAACCTGCTGCAAGATTTGTATAACCTCTTTTTGTTATTGAATGTGAATGATTACCTGTTGTGTTTGTAGTTCCTGTATGCTTATGCGGTGGAAGATTTGCTTCTAAAATTTTCTTTGAACCACCCGTTTGATTTGATGAATTAGCACAGTATAAGAATTTATCTACAATCTGCTGCCACGTACCAAAATCTAAAACACTTGCCGGATTAGTTGAATTCATTGACGTATAAATAGAGCCTATAGGATATATGGTTTCAAGAATCTGAGTCTTCATTGTTTGAAGTTCATGTTTAACATTTATAAATCCATCGCCATCTACAATATTTATATTGTTTGTTATTAAACCATTAGGAAAAGTAGGAGGATAAATATTTTGTTCAACTAAAGGTGTACCGTCTCTTCCTGTTTTTGTTACTTCTTCAATGTATGCATTAATTTCTTTAATCCTGATTGTTTGAAATTCTTCATGCACATGCTCTTTATCAGCTTTTCCATTAATTTTATCATTTACTTCCGACTTCTTTGCATAATTTTCATCTACCCATTCCTTTGCTTCTTCTGTATAACTCATTGCTTTTGTATCATAACGATTTAATTCTTCATCTACATATATTTTGTCGGTTTTATTGGCTAAATCAACAACCATATCTCTTAGGTTAGTGCACATATCTTCATCACGCATGCTTGATGAAGCAATAGCCCAATTCAATATTATCTCATCAGCTCTAATAGTTGAGAAGGAGTTATGTGTATGTTCTTTATCTGCTTTCTTATCTAACATTGCTGGTAGTTCATATGTTTCAAAGTTTCTGACATGACCTTCGATATTTGTACATTTACTATCTAAACTGTTAAGCGTGTCTTTTACGCTAGTGCTTGGATTCTCTAAAGGTGCACTTGAACCCAAATCAAAGTTCAGTATTATGTCGTCTGCTCTAACAGTTGTGAAGGATTCATGCGTATGATTTTTGTCTGCTTTACTGTCTAATGAAGTTTGAAGTGAATTTATGTCGGAGATATTGTGTTTATGAGATTCCAAAACTTTGTTCGTTGCGTCAAGTTCATCTTTGTCAGCTTTAGTTTTAATAGCATCTTCCACCTTCATTCTTGACTTAACCATCAAAGTAAATCTTGGTTCAACTAATACATCGTTAACAAAGAAACTATAGGCATAAATTTCATCGTTATAATCAAATGCTTCTGGTGCTTTACCTGTGTCATACTGTACAGTACAACGTATGTCATAACCTTCAGCACGAATGAATTTATATCTTCTTTCATTAACATCTTCCGTCTTCACTCTTTCTTCGGTTCGTGTTAAATATCCATGATAATCCGTTATAATATGTTCATCTGAACTTACATAATGAACATGGTTCGTGACTCTATCACTCAGAGCTAAAAGCTCATTTTTGTCTGCCTTACTATCTAATTTCTCATTAACATCATTCACCTCTAATTCAACCCTTCCACCAGAACTCTTATTATCATTAATCTTTTTCATTAATTCAGTAATTACATCATAAAGACTATATTCTGTTTTCGGTTCTGTAAATAATGAGTCAAAATTTCTTTTCATCATTACATCGCTGACATTAATGATATCATCAATACCTTTTTCATTTATTCTCTTCATTAGTTCTGCAATAATGACGAATATATAATCTGTTAATTTATTCTCTTCATCAAGGGTTATAGAATGATTTGAAATCGAATCATTAACACCTCTAAATAAATCAATAACTTCAGGATACACGTTTTTAATGTCTCGAATAACCTGACCCGTATCCTCGCCACTATGTGGCTCTGAGCCCGTTGGGCTCTGTTGTTCCTCCTCTTCTTCATGGGCTTTGCCCTCGCCGCTACGCGGCTTTATGTCTCTAGACACCATCAACGCAGCCATAACCGGAGGGTTTGTTGCTACCTGTTCGAAAATCTGTCCGTTATGTACGGTGTATCTAAATAATTTCTTTGTGTTTGTTAAAACATTTGAAACAAGTCTTTTAAAACCATCTACAAAATTTCCCGTTTCACCTAATGTTCTTGCAGCATCTACAAGCTCACCCATTCCCGCTTTCGACCCCAAAAACGTCCATATGGCGTTTATCTCACTCTGTATAGTTGTCCATTCAGCGAAACTAACACCCGCATTCGCTAAGTCGAAAATGAAACCCAGTGGATCGAACTTAATTCCGCCTTCTTTTTCAATTTCAACGAACTCACTAACATGAGATTTTAAATATTCTTTCGTTAAAATCGTTTTTCCTGATGTCATGCTGTTAACGGAGCTATCACCGTCAAAAGTTAACGAATTCAATTTCGTCATTGATGCTTTTATTTCATACACCGCTTTATCGATAGTTTTTGGCCCACCTTCTTTAGAAGTGTATGAAACATTAATGAATGAATTATATGTATTCATGAATGAGTTAAAATCAATGATTTTCATTAATGAAGCCTTTAATGATTCATTAACTGTTGAATCCCTTAATTCAATTAATGAAGCATCGTTAATGAAAGGTACACTGCAAACCGTCGTGTTTGGATCAAATGCCGTAGTCGGCTGGGGAGTATTAATTATATAAGTCATTAAATCATTAAGTGACGTAAATAATGTTGTTGTTTTTGATTTAATTTCTTTAGCATCTGTTATATACGGTAATTTTATTTCTGTAGTTTCTGAATTAAAGATATTCGCTAAAATGTTTTGTAAACTGTTTTGAACAGCTGTCTAAACCGTTGAATTCGGAACCCGTACGATTTCACCATCCTTATTAAAGGGCATTGCACATGGCGTAGTGCTTGGGTCAAATCTTTCGGGATTATAATTCAACATATATTCTAATGCTTCATAAACAGACCTATATACTGTTGTGTTATCTTTTTCAATAATTTCACCATTTTTAATAAAAGGCATTGTACATGGCGTTAATATTGGAATGAATTTTTCATATTCTTTCCATGAGATATAATGTTCAGTCTTTCCATCAGTGATAATTAAACATTCATCATTAAATGAAAACGTGTATGAACCGAAAATTAATCTTTTCGCTCTATCAGCTTCATAAGAATATGCGGATATACTCATATTTTTAATTAGAATAAAAATGTTGTTCTATTTGCAAAGTACTGATCCTAATGATTACGGGACATTAAAATTACAAACTAACCTTGGTCTTCAGAATGAACCACTAGCTTCCAGAGTTCTTGATTTTAGCACAATCGCTTCATTTGTTATAACGGACGCTAACGATTTCATTACTTTTGAAATTGATGGTATTAGAACTGAAATTCATTTTAAAGCAAGAAATAAATATGATATTGATACGTTAGAGAAAAAGATTCAGGATCTCATTGATGAAAAATTTAATGGATCCATGACCTCCGGTCTCGCCCCTTTGGGGCTTAACTGTGAATTAACTGATTCAGGAATAATAAAATTTAGTTCCGAAAAAGAATTTAAAATTACTGATATGACTCATCGAGCACGTTTATTATTAGGTGCTTATCATCAAGAATTACCATTAAAATCTTCTATTGAAAATCAAAAATATATAATTGAAATGAAGTCTGCGCCCTACATCTGTTATGGAAACTGTTTATATGTTGAATCAAAAATAAGTAATGTAACAGGAATTTCAGGAGTTAATAATAAAAATTCTGTAATAGAATATAAATCATTCTGTTACGCCGTTAATTCTGTATTCATGCCTAATTTTCCGATTTTATTAAGACACGAAGGAAAATGGGTTCGAATACAACCACACCATTTAAAAGATATGACATTTAGATTAGTTGATTTTCAAGGCGAACCAATTGAAATTAAAGCTCCTGTCAAATGACTATAGAAGTTGATTTTTGGTCTAATATAAGAGCTAATGGACTAGATGATGAACCAGGAGCCGCTACGCGAGGGATAAAAATATAAATTTTAAATTAATTCGTTAAAACATATTTCAAGCAAAGTTTATATTCTGTTGAAAGTTTTGTGTATTCATTCGAATATTTATACTTAAACTCAACTCCTGTAGTTCCTGGTGTTTCGATTATTCTAATATTACCGATTTTCATAAATACCGGTATCCGACCGCAGCATTCGATTTCAGGGTCAAGATAATCAATAATACACTGTTTACCTGTTATTCTTGATATAACATTCTCTAAATCCTCCTTTGTTAAAATTATTTGATTCTTACTAATAAGATTTGTCAAAAGCTTCTTATCATCTTTAAGTAATATTGTTTGGTATAAATTAAGGAGGTAATGGTCTACGTTATCTCTGTAGAAGTTGAAATTTGAATATGGATTATCTTGAGCTTCACGTGATATAGGCTCTAATGGAGGTGGATATTCTAACTTAACTTCACTGTTAGCGTTTGCGTTTGAAGCTGTGTTTAAATTAACGGATTTCAGCTTTCTAGGCTCTTTTCTTTCAAGTTTTCAGAACTATAATTTTTGATTATAATATTATTTGTCGTTCTTGAATCAACATTCGACGTCGGTTCAATAGGAACATTCACTGCACCGGCTAAGATGGATTTACTTCTCATTTTCTAAAGAATAAAAACCTTTTATTACTATAAAAATGAATAATATCTTTGATAAAGGTTTAAACGTGAAACTTGAAAATGAAAATCTTGTTGAATTCACTGAAACGGGCGCAGTTTATAAAGATGTTGAGGTGTTAAATAAGAAAGCAAAAGGCAGAAGTCGAAATATGAACATCGATTATAAACCATTTACTATTTACGTTAATGATGGTTCTGGTGGTTCAAACATTAAATATGCAGAAAGTAATAGAGTTTATGCGTTAAAAGGTGAAGCACCATCGATTAAAAACAGTTATTCTAATCTTTATCCTCAAAAACTAACTAATCCAGAAAGTGTGGACATGAATGACACCAAAAATATAAACAGAAATGGTGATAGAGATGGATGGAATCTATTCACAACACCTCATCTAAAAATAAAGCTTTAAAATAATGTTGGTCTTTCCCAAGGTATATTTTTAACATTAATTGTATTAGTCATTATATGAATTTCTAAATATGAACGTGGTGAAATGAGTGATTTATAAGCATCCCAGATTTCATCAAAAGGTAATGTTATACCTGATTGCTTCCAAATTAATTCTATATCGTATTTTGAGAAACCTTGAAATATAACGAAATCAGTAATGAGACGTTTAATGTTTAAGCTAAAAACCTCCACGTCTGCATAAGTATTGCTACAGTCATGTGATAATGTCTGACTTTAGTAATTAAATTAGCTAATGGTGAATCTGGTTTTGAAACTAAACCTTTACCAGCGAAATCATCACAAACTAATAAAGTGTTTGATGGATATTTTTTAAAAGGATATTTTGAAAGTTTTGAGAGAATGTAGTTTGTCAATCGTTTCATATCATACGTACCATCCTGCTGTCTCAAATGATGTTTATCAATAATTCTTTCCATTTCTTCCGAGGTCTTTTGCATTCCTGATTGTATAAATTCAACTATTGCATAATATTTCTTCTTTCTTCTTATATAACGTTGAAGAAAAGAAATTAATTCGCTATCTGGAACTTTAATTACTGATGCCTGAACTTTACTCATAAACGTCTTCGCTGTTGAATCCATTGAATCTGAAGTTGCTGATATAATGATTTGGTCATAATATGAATTGACAGTTCAAGCCTAACGTTCAGTAATTAAAATATGACGTATTAAATTAAAAGTCTTTCCCGAACCCATTTTTCCGCAATAGAAATACACACCGTTTGAACAGAACTGATAATCCTTACTGAAGGGAAGAATTAATGAACTATTGAGTTTATCAGATTTTTCATTCATTTTTTCATCTACTTCTTCAAATAAATGTTTCATTTTATTATAATTAAAAATGCAAGTCAGAAATTTTGTTAATACCGTTCCCAGTCTTAATGATAAAAGTATTAAAATCTATTATGAGCACATATTTTCACAACCGTTTAAAATAATCAATGGTGAATACATTTATGAATACCCTAAACACTGGGTTGATTATAACACTGGTGAAAAAGCAATTGAAATAAGACAGATAAAAACCATTCCTGCAGGACGAACCATTGAATTATATAACTTTGGAATAATAAGAGATAATCATCAATATGATTTACAGATTTATATAGATTTAGACACAGGAGATGATATGACAGCATTTAATAAAAAGATTAAATCGGTTCTTATTGAACAGTTAAAAGGTGCCGGATATCCTCAACCTAATGAAGTTGATATGTTTTATAGTTTTGAAACTAATTCAATAGAATTTCGTGTTAATTCAAATTCAAAAGCTGGTTTCATATTTGATTTAAGAAAGATGAGTGTGTGCTGTCGGTGATGAGATTGAAAATATATACACGAATAAAAATTTTCAAGAGATTACAGGAATTAATAATGATGAATGCTTTTATCGATTTGCTCAGTTCGGAGCAGAACAGATAACATTAAATGACCTCCTGGAGTACTTACCAAAATCAATTTCCATTAAAAATGATGATTATTTATTAACATCAATTTCATTTAATGGTGTTTGGTCCAGAGAAGCGGCAATCATTAAATCAAGTATAAGTGAATTCGCTGAAGATTCTATTTTATGTTTATCAAACTGTTTATATTCTCCGCCGAAGCATTATTCAATAACTAATTATGTTAATAAATTTAATATAAAATTAGTTGAACCATCGAGCCTAAAAGATATTGTCCTTCCTGATGACAGAAAAGATAGTATTATTATCGAACTCATATTAATCGCTTATTAAAATTTAATTATATATAAATGAGTTCAACGACTGAAAGCGCATGGGCTAGTTTTGATGAAGACCCTAAACCGCGGAATTATAATAGAATTGTAATTCCTGTAGGTCTTTTATTAGCTGCTGGTGCTGTAGCGGGACCATATTTATATAGAAATTTATATAGAACACCGATTAATTCAACTGCCGGGGCTGATCTTATTCCAACAGGTCTGAAAAAATCTACACCGATTCAAACAAGCCCGACACAGGAAAGGAACCGCGAACCACTCACACGTATTAGGTCTTTTATTAATTATTTAAAGAATAGAAGAAATTAATTTGTAATAAATGACGTCGTTAAATGTAAAAATAATTTGTGATGATATTACTATCATTGATGATGTAAGTGAGTGTGCTAATATAATTGATAGAATTAATGAACTAATAAAGAGGTTCAGTGGTGAAAAAGTCAGAGTTTCATTAACGTTTAGCTCCGATGAAAAATTTTATGAGTTAATCATTATGAGAAATGATTTTAATAAGCATTAAATGGTATTTTCAACACTATCAGCTTTGTATGGAGGTTATAAAGCTATTGACGGTTTAACTGGTGGAGCTGTATCAAAAGCTTTAAAAAATAATGCTGGAATGCTTGTGGGAGCTGCTGCCAGAAAATTAAAATCTGAAAAGTTAAAGAAATTAGGTAACTGGGTCGCTGACCAGTCGCAGAACCTTTTAGGTGAAGATAATGAAATATCTAAGCAGCTAAAAGATTTTAAAGGTCAGTTGAATGGCGAAGAGTTTAAATTAAATTCACTTAAAGAAAAGGAGAAACAGCCAGAATATCCACCAATTGAGGCACCGCCGATTAATTCAGCACCTGCGCCATCACCAGCACCAGCGCCAGTAACTGCAGTCGCACCATATGACCCGAACGCTTATGGAAGACCTTTTGACCCTAAAACAGGAGGTTCGAATTGGTTCCATTACGGTCGAAGATATATTTTAGCTAAAATCGCAAAAGCAAAGAAACTGTTAAAAACTAAAAAGAAACCAAGAGTTTTAAAGTAATTAAATGGTTAGAGATGTTCTCGAATACCCTGCACCACCTGAAACGCCTAACAATAATGATTTATATAATCGATTGAAAACTTTAGGTAAAGCGTATTTATGGTTTAATTATCCTTATCATATGGCGGCTTATAAACTTTATAAACACTATAAAGAAAGTAATAGACCTTCAACCGACCTAGTTGATCCGCAGGAATTAAGGAAAAGACGACGAAGCCGCTAAGCGGCTCAGATGGACTCAGAGAGTCCTCATAAAAAATAAAGTTAATTTTAAAAATATTTTTTATTTTTTACTTTTAATAAAATGAGTACTAAAATTACTGAAGCAACAAAACAAAAATTTTTAGTTGAATACATTAAATCAGGAACTATTCCAGAAGGTTTTTATGTTCATCAAATGAAAGATGGTAGAGTTCAATTTAGAAAAATTAAGCAGCCATTAAATAAAGATGGAATATTAAGAAAGATTAAATTATATGAAGATAACATAGCAGAACTGACGAAGAAATTAGAAGAAATGGATAAATCAGATTAGATATAAAATTTTATTTTTATATAAAATGAATTTTACTAATAAATTATTAATTATCGTTTCATTAGTTCTCATCTCCCGTGAAGCTCGTTTATGGTATGAATCTATAAAAGAGTTTGAAGACAGCAGCGATGACATTCCTGAATCATGCCAGCATATTTACTGTTGAAAATTCATGTTCTCTCAAGGTTAGAAATGAGGTTAGATATCGGGTTAGATCTACCCTAAAATTAATTTTATCATTTATTTTATCGTTTATGTTAAACATGGGCTTTTAGCCCCGCCGCTAAGCGGCTTAGTATATACAGAAATAAAAAAATAAATTTAAAAAATTTTGAGTTAGTTTATTTTTAAGTTTATTTTTTAAAAAATATTTTTTTTATTTTGAGTAGTGTAAAAATTTACGATGAAAAAAATAAATAAAAAATTTTAAAGTTTATTTTTTAAAAATATTTATTTTTATTTTTTGTAAATGTAAAATATTTTACGTGTCAAACGGTTTTTGTCAAATTCTAGTAATTTGAGTACTAAGAGGCGTAGACCCTTGGTACCCAATTACTAGATACTAACTTCTCCTTCAATCCGCGAACTCCAAAAACTTGAATATGAGAAAAATAAATCCAGAAATCAAAAGAAAGCTACACCAGAAACAAGAAAAGAGATCAACAAGGCAAGAAATGCAAAAAGATTTCCTAAGGATAACCCTACAGGTGATTACAGAGGAGGAAAGTGGACCCCACAAGATATCTAATTTTCAAATTTGAAATAAACACATATTTTCTTTGTATTTGAAAATATTTTTATATTATAAGATTTTTGAACCTATAAGTAGCATGACAAAAATTATATAATTTGCTCCTTTTTTATTTTAGAATACAAATATCCCATTTGTTATATGTTCGGTATATATATGATGATATAAAAAAAAAAAAAAAAAAAAAAAAAGGTATTGGGGCTTCCAGGCGCGTTGCGCCCTCTAGCCCCGAAGATGTTTAGTATAAAACCGCTTTTTAACTTCACTTAAAATGCCACGTAAGCTACGTAAGAATATACGTAAGAGGAAGAGAGCATTGAAACATCCAATAGTAAGACTAACACCACAACAACAGTTGCAACAACAAATGCTGAATGACCCCACTATGTTGCAACAAATGTCAAGCAATCCTATGCTTTTAAACCGAGTTGTTGGTGCACAGAGTGGAGGTTTAAGAGCGGCACTTTTAGCGAAAATGGCAGGCTATGGTGGAGCTGCAGACGGAACAGCATATAACCCTCAAAGTCAAATGAATTTGAGTTCACTCAAAAATCAAATAACAGATGTCAAAAAGTCAAACATAGACATACAGAAGCAAATAAGTGAAAACGAAAAGAAACTAGAATATGACAGACACACAAAGAAACTCAATGAGTTAAACGTAGAGAAAAAGAAGAAAGAAGAACAACTGAAAGAACTAAGTACAGAGGAATATGCGAAAAAAGTGTCAGAAAAAGCAGCAGAAGTAGCAAAAATGGAACAAGATGTCATAAATTTGAAAAACCATACTACTCGATATAAAGTACTGAAAGATGAAGAAATAAAACAAAAAGCCCTGAAGACATATATGGATAGCGATGAGTATAAAAAAGAAGTTGAAGCAACTGTAAAGGCAGAAAAACTTTTACAGTTGCAAAACCAAACCGTACAGTATGAAAACTTAGCACAAGAAAGTAAAAATAACGACGCAGCCATGCAAAAGGCAATGAAAAGCGCAGAATATATAAAAGCTAACAATGACTGGTTAGATGCCCAAGCCAACGCTAAAGCAGCCCAGCTTATAGGGTCAATAAGGACAAAAATACAAGCGGATGAAGACAGTTCAAATGAAACTTTAACAAATGCTGACTTTAAGAACGCCTTCGAAGCTCTTCATAGTAAGGTGAAACAAGTGAACGATTTCTCATCTGGAAAGAAACTGAAGTCTGAAGGTTTCGACAAAGAGTTAAAAGAAGTAGCACAAAATATGACGAAAATAACAGATGCAGCAACGAGACAGGCAGTTCAAAGTGCCTATGACGCCGTTAGAGCAACTGTTGTGGAAAGTCAAGAAAAAGAGTTACAACAGACCAAAACAGACCTAGTAAATGCTTTCTTAAGAACGAAAAGTCAGGTAGGACATTACGCTGCAGATGGAACATATGTGCCAGCTGGTGGAACTTATATACCACCAAACCCTCCAAGAGAAGCACCTGCACCAGGACTACCTAGAACATTTACATCGTCACATGGACACAGACACAGGCATGCACCAAAACCAACACAACAACCAACACAACAACCAACACAACAACCAGCACAACAACCACCTCCACAACCAGCACAACAACCAACACAACAACCAGCACAGCAACCAACAGTTCAAAACCCTGCACAACAACAACCACAAACAGAGCAAGGACATAAAAGAAGTAGAGAACAAGGAAACCAAGAATTCTTAAAAATGCTTAAAGAAGAGTGTGGTTTCCCAGATAGTATTGACTTTAGTGACAGATATAAAGAAGCTATTGGAAAGTTCAAGGATGGAAATACTGACCCGAACCTATTTAGCTTTATGGCTCAGCACCAAAACGGATATAATCTCAAACCTGGAAAATACAAGCTCGCTAAGGGATATGATTTAATAGCATATCATCCAAATGACATGGATGAATTTACTCCGAGATATTTGATGTCAGAGCTAAATGACAATTCAACTTTCGTCATGAAACGCGTAAAAAATAGAGACGGAACGAAAGAACAAAAGCTTATGAATGCGGATGACGTAGATAGGGAAATTGTTGAAAACGGTCTCGGAATATATGAAATGCCAGCAGATGAGGTACAAGAAACTCCACAGGAAGAAGTTCAGATACAACCAGACATGGAAGAAATAGTTCAGCAACAACAGCTAGAAGAGCCTGAAGGAAACGAACAAGTCCTTCCTTTGGAAACTAACTTCACAGAACTAGATGAAGATTTGGAACAGCCGAAAAATCTTGACCCTCAACAAGAGTATGCGGAGAATATGGAATATTTCCAAGAGTCTAAAAAAAATTCGGCTGACATAGTAGAAGAATATCGAAAAATGTTTGCCGACATACAAAAGACTCCAACACCAGATGAAAATATTCGGCATAGAATGGAAGCACTGAAAGAAAATGTACACAAATACAACAACCCTTTTTACTTACGAGCATTTAACGTTCAATCTTCGGATGAACTCGGTGAAAATAAAAGGTTAAATTTCAAGAAAACATATAGAAATGAAACATTGTTTAAAGTTCATTCAGAACCTAACCAAGATGGAAACAAACCTACTTTTGTTTCTGCAGACGATGGAACTACAATGAGATGGGGTCATAAAGCTAACCCGGATAGGTGGTTCATAAACTTACAACCTCAATTCCAAGAAGTTGTAGACGCAATGGAAGTCAATGGTGAACAAGATATAGCTGGTATTTTAAGCGCGGCTTTAATGCCATTGAAAGATATGAAACATGCAGATATTTTGGACCAGTATGAAATGAACATGGCTGATGGAAATATAACACCTGACGTTCTAGAACATTTATCTCAAAGAACTACACAGAACCATAGAGATGGTATATTTGGTGAAGAGTTTAGAAAGAAAGTTAGGGATAGAGAAGGAAGAGAACCTATTGTACATGACCTTGCAAACGAAAGTTTACAAAATGTCATAAAAACTTACTTTGCAGACAATGAACCGAGAAGGGATGAATATTTAAGAAAACTCAAATGGACAGTACCAAATGAAATGTTAGTATTGAAAAACATGTTCCTTGACAAAATAAAACCAACTACAGAAATAAACGACGCAAGACTGAAAGATTGGGTAAAAGCTTTCCCATTCACAAAAGATATAGTTGGTAACATGGAAAGAAAACCAGAATGGCTACAAAAACATATATTTGGAAACGAGCTTATTCCATATGGACAGGCACTGTTTGAAGCGCTTGAACCGGAAACTCAGGAAAGAGTCATGCAAACAATACGCAAAGACTCAAATACAAACTATGACAAACTCTTTCTAGGATATAGGTTACCTGAGATGGGCGACCAGAGCCCAAAGGCAAAAAGGGCATGGAAAATTTGCAACATACTAGATGAACATGAGGCAAAGATGCAACAACTTGAAGCAGAGGGCAAGTTACCAAAGCGACACCAAAGAAGAAGAGTAGAACAAAGTGAAAGTAGTGAAGAAGTAACTTCATCTAGTGAAAGTAGTGGCAATGAAGGAAAAAGAAGAGTTAAAAAACTCAGTCAGGAAGAAAGTAAAGCTTGGTCCACGTGGGTTCTATTATGACATATAAATCCAACTATTCTATATTTTTACCCATATGAAATGTACGCCGCTCAGAATATAACGCCAACAGTTTTGGATGCCATGAATGGAAATTTTCCGAATGGTATAACGAATGCGACAATGCCATTAGAAGGTCAGAAATAGTTCCTGGAACTTACGAATATACAACTGCTGTTTCTTATGGAAACGTAGGTGAGTTTGGAGAAGGTTCTTCAACAACAGTAGATATTGCTTGCGACAGGTTTCATATAATTTCTATTGACAACTCTTTCTTATACGTGGAACAAGACATTGAAATAAAACCTTCTGCCAAGTTGTCTGACAAGAAAGGTTGCAATGGAATTTTCTATGTCGGATACCAATATGCTCCAGAAGTTTTCATGGGATATAAGATATATTCTAACTCTGACTTAGTTCAAACAGTAACATGGGCAAACTATGAATGGTTCGCTTTGAGAAACTCAGTACAACCACAAGCTAGAGAACAAACAGACCAGTATGCAACTATTGAGAAAATAAGAAGACTTGACCCTAACGTTCCAGGAGTTTATGTTAACCTTTCTGGACAAACTGCAGCAGCAGTAACCAAAGTAAAATTGAAACTTAGAGTTCCTTTGTCATCTTTCCTCATCTTCAGGTTTTTAAGATACTTGCCAAACTGGCAGGAAAAATTTCTATCGAACTTACTCCAAGCAAAAATAACTTAGTCATTGCACCAACACAAGACCCATTCACTCTTACAGAAGTAGTGGGAACAAATAAAATGTCATTCGCGACTTTTGCAAAAACAAAGTTGACTTAGACTTTGGTTTCTCAAACCTCAACACTGAAGTAAACTATTATTTCAATGCTGCTGGAGATGCTTGGGACCCAGTTAAGTTCACATGCGAAAAATTTGAATGCAAGAGAATAGAAAGCAGACTTGCAGTCTATATGTTGGACCCAGATATTTCAAATGCTTTAGCTGCCAAATATATTGCAGTTCCACTTATGTTCCCTATACACCAAATATCTGTCAAAGACTTTGCAGGTGAAGTTGGAAACCAAAGTGCTGACCCAGGTGCAAGAACAGATATTGCTTTAACAACTGCAATGAAACATGCAGATACTATGTTTGTACTGTTCAGACGAACTATAAATGACTATTCTTGTTTCTACAACCCTGGTATTAAATACCATATAAACATAGATGGCAAATACTATCCAAGAGAAGAATATTCCACAGTTGAGGATATGAGGTCATACAACTTGACATTAGATGCTATGAACTTTAACAACAACTTCACAACAACCATTAACCCTGAAATGCAAAGTTCTATTATGCCATATGTGAAAGTATGGACTCATACAGGAGGTCAAAAAACTCAATATACAAATGGAGACCGTTCAAACTTTTGGCTTGGCATTCCATTTGCTGACTCAGAAGACTTTATGGGTGGTATTTCAACTGTTGGTACAGTTCAAATACAATATACTGGTGACAGAGACGGTCCAGATGAATTGAAAGCAAAGAAGTTTACAAAACCAATAGCACTTTTCACGGAAGATGCTCTTTTGAAAATTCGTTCGATGAAACCTGCTGGGGCTCCTCAGATTGGTATAACGACAGCTTCCATCGAGCAGATTTTGGCAGCAGGTCAGTAAGTTGTTCTTGAACTGACTTCTCTCCGTCAAATATTGACAGTACGCCAGTTTTGATATAGTATTGTATTATAAACTTACCTTTAGAAATATCGGTCAGTTTTGTTGTTATATTTTTGTCTGCTTCAAGAACTTTCACCATCTCGGTTATACCAACTTTCTTTGCTTTATGAAAATATTTTGGTTCAGCAAAGACTGCTATTCTATAACATTTTCCATTGTTTGTGTAAAGAACTATTCTATCAATGAACTTGTATTGTTTGTGTGTGTAAACTTTGTTTTGCTTCAATTCGAAGAGATACTCAAATACGTCCATCTTTTTATTCTAAGTAAAATGTCATTTCCGAAAAATAGAAGCGTAAGTGTTTCAAAAAGGTTTAATGGCGATGGCAGATGTGAAGTTAAATTCACCAACTCAAACAAACAGTCAAAGTGTTGTTGTCAATGTCAAAGACAGAGATGTTGAAGTGGGAAACCATACGAAGACGAAGATGGTATAACAATAGTTCCTGTAAAAGAACCAACATACCCTGAAGTTAGCAGAGACTTAAGTTCTGTTGCAGATATTCGAAACGACTACCAACAACTTAAAGACAAACTTAAAACTCAGGAGAAGATTTGTCAAGCTTTAGGTATAATGTTAAACTTGGTTGAGCACAAACCCTGTAAAAGTGAACTCATATGTCATCGCACCTCATGAAATTTTGAAAGAACTATTGAAACTTTTGACAGAGGCAGACGATATAAACATCAAAGAAATAGAACCCGACATTGCTTGCTGTGGGTTTCATACAATGTCATTGACAAGATATACGTTATGAAAGGAGGTGAAACGTTGAACTTAAAAATATAGTTTCCCAGACGTCATAAAAATATTTGACGACCACAACATTTCATTAAAATTTACTTGCTAAGTAAAAATGGCAGAAGACATAGTGGTTTATACTATTACGACTAAAAACCCTGAGTCATATAATTCTATAACAACAAACTTACAAAGTCCTCAAGGACGATATTGTAAACTGACCTTAAACACGATGACGACTAAAAGCCTGTTTTGCTCTTTTGACACCAGAAGATTTTATTGTTGTGAATGGTAAAAATACTCCTTTGAAGATACTTACTCAGATATACCACCAACAGGTTTTGTTGACTTATTTAATACTTTAAGGACGGATGTAACATGTGCTGCAACTAGAGCAGGTTTCATTATGTTTGGATGTCCGACTGAGTTTAGTATAAACGATATGAGCTATAATACAAAACTTATATCTGGTTTTTACTACCAACAGTTTCCTATAACAGGAAAAGGTGTCATACAAGGAATGTCTGTTCCATTGACTTTAAGTACACCTATTTTATATATTGTTTCAAACTTAGGTTCAAAGTGCTATTCGAATGTCGACAGAAACTACTATGACCAAAAGATACTCATGCGTATAAACAACACTTTCTCTGCTGGTTTGCCTATTGTTCATTCGAATGCAGAGTTTTCAGCTTTAGTGAACTCAAACACTTTAGCAAACATAAACTTAACCTTAGTTGACGCAAACTTTGTTCCTGTAAAACTTTTATGTCCTATGTATTTGTCAATGACGGCAGAAAGTTTCGAATTGGAAGATGCAACTGGTGAAAGTATTGTACTACAAGAAACAACTTCAACAACAAATAGCTCAAGAACAACAAATGCAACAAATGGAACAAATGCAACAACAAATAGCTCAAGAATAAAAAAAATATTTTTTTTATTTTTA